CCTGTATTCAATCTATTGCATGGAAATCCGGCCTCCTTTCAAGTTAGGGCTTCTCGCTGTATATTCCCCTTGAGGCAGCAAACTCGGAGTCCCTCCCACATACCTATTGCTGAGAAGCCTCCTCCTGAGTTGCTTCTGGAAAGTTGGCATACGTCTTGAGCCTAAGCCAGGGAATCAGCTCTCATCTCGAGACAATTTGGGGTACACGGAGCATTCCTCGAGTTGCTGTGCTGAAGTTGGTGTTCCTCTAGACTTGGGAAAGTGTTCTCTGGGCATCTCTGGAGTTGCCTGAAGGAAGTCGAGCCACCGGTCTTGTTGAATGGGGAACGGGGAATGGCTCTGGAGTCAATGCAGGGGAATCGGGCCTCATCTCGAGTTGATTTGGAGCACATGGAGCAGCTTTGCGTTGCTGGGGTGACCTCAGGGTCCGTCTAGACTCGTGACAGTGTTCTTGGGGACTGTCTCGAGATCCATTAAGCAAGTCGAAGCTCCTGACTTGTTTGAATGGGATCACGGAATAGCTCTGCATGCACTGCAGGGGAATGGGGCCTCATCTCGCCTCTAGGGGGGAGTCTCATGGTTTTTCTCGAGTTGCGGCGGGGACCTGGGGTATGTTCTCGACTTACGGCCGGGATGGCCCTTCAAAACTCGAGTTTCTTCAGTGACGTCAGGACTCCTGCCTAGTAACGAGGGACACCTCAGGAATCTCTTCGAGGCTTGGCAGGGCAAAAGGGACGCTTCTCGAGGTGAGGCAGGGCACCCAAGGACCCTTTCCAGTAGCCACAGGGAATTTGGGATTCCTATCAGTATTCAAGAGGAGTCAGGCATCGTCACCTTTTGAAGCAATGAACTCCGCGTGCCTCTCGAGGTGTCAGCGGGATGTGAGGCATTCCGTCAAAATGAGGCAGGGACCTAGGGCTTTCTCTAAGGCCTCCACAGGGGATTCAGACATCCCTTCAAGTTGTGAGATGAAAGACAAGCCTGTATTCAATCTATTGCTTGGAAATCCGGACTCCATTCAAGTTAGGGCTTCTCGCTGTATATTCCCCTTGAGGCAGCAAACTCGGAGTCCCTCCCACATACCTACTGCTGAGAAGCCTCCTCCTGAGGTGCTTCTGGAAAGTTGGCATACGTCTTGAGCCTAAGCCAGGGAATCAGCTCTCATCTCGAGATGATTTGGGGTACACGGAGCATTCCTCCAGTTGCTGTGCTGAAGTTGGTGTTCCTCTAGACTTGGGACAGTGTTCTCGGGGCATCTCTGGAGTTGCCTGAAGGAAGGCGAGCCACCGGTCGTGTTGAACGGGGAACGGGGAATGGCTCTGGAGTCAATGCAGGGGAATCGGGCCTCATCTCGTGTTGATTTGGGGCACATGGAGCTGCTTTGCTTTGATGGGGTGACCTCAGGGTCCGTCTAGACTGGTGACAGTGTTCTTGGGGACTGTCTCGAGATTCATTAAGCAAGTCGAAGCTCCTGACTTGTTTGAATGGGATCACAGAATAGCTCTGCATGCACTGCAGGGGAATGGGGCCTCATCTCGCCTCTAGGGGGAAGTCTCATTGTTTTTCTCGAGTTGCGGCGGGGACCTGGGGTATGTTCTCGACTTACGGCGGGGATGGCCCTTCAAAACACGAGTTTCTTCAGTGACGTCAGGACTCCTGTCTAGTAATGAGGGACACCTCAGCAATCTCTTCGAGGCTTGGAAGGGCAAAAGGGACGCTTCTCGAGGTGAGCCAGGGCACCCAAGGACCCTTTCCAGTAGCCACAGGGATTTTGGGATTCCTATAAGTATTCAAGAGGAGTCAGGCATCGTCACCTTTTGAAGCAATGAACTCCGCGTGCCTCTCGAGATGTCAGCGGGATGTGAGGCATTCCGTCAAAATGATGCAGGGATCTAGGGCTTTCTCTAAGGTCTCCACAGGGGATTCAGACATCCCTTCATGTTGTGAGATGAAAGACAATCCTGTATTCAAGCTACTGCAAGGAAATCTGGCCTCCTTTCAAGTTAGGGCTTCTCGATGTATATTCCTCTTGAGGCAGCAAACTCGGAGTAACTCCCACATACCTATTGCTGAGAAGCCTCCTCCTGAGGTGCTTCTGGAAAGTTGGCTTACGTCTTGAGCCTAAGCCAGGGAATCAGCTCTCATCTCGAGACGATTTGGGGTACACGGAGCATTCCTCGAGTTGCTTTGCTGAAGTTCGTGTTCCTCTAGACTTGGGACAGTGTTCTCGGGGCATCTCTGGAGTTGCCTGAAGGAAGTCGAGCCACCGGTCGTGTTGAATGGGGAACAGGAATGGCTCTGGAGTCAATGCAGGGGAATCCGGCCTCATCTCGAGTTGATTTGGGGCACATGGAGCTGCTTTGCATTGCTGGGTGACCTCAGGGTCCGTCTAGACTGGTGACAGTGTTCTTGGGGACTGTCTCGAGATCCATTAAGCAAGTCGAAGCTCCTGACTTGTTTGAATGGGATCACGGAATAGCTCTGCATGTACTGCAGGGGAATGGGGCCTCATCTCGCCTCTAAGGGGAAGTCTCACGGTTTTTCTCGAGTTGCGGCGGGGACCTGGGGTATGTTCTCGACTTACGGCGGGGATGGCCCTTCAAAACACGAGTTTCTCCAGTGACGTCAGGACTCCTGCCTAGTAACGAGGGACACCTCAGGAATCTCTTCGAGGCTTGGCAGGGCAAAAGGGACGCTTCTCGAGGTGAGTCAGGGCACCCAAGGACCCTTTTCAGTAGCCACAGGGATTTTGGGATTCCTATCAGTATTCAAGAGGAGTCACGCATCGTCACCTTTTGAAGCAATGAACTCCGCGTGCCTCTCGAGGTGTCAGCTGGATGTGAGGCATTCCGTCAAAATGAGGCAGGGACCTAGGGCTTTCTCTAAGGTCTCCACAGGGGATTCAGACATCCCTTCATGTTGTGAGATGAAAGACAAGCCTGTATTCAAGCTACTGCAAGGAAATCCGGCCTCCTTTCAAGTTAGGGCTTCTCGATGTATATTCCCCTTGAGGCAGCAAACTCGGAGTCCCTCCCACATACCTATTGCTGAGAAGCCTCCTCCTGAGGTGCTTCTGGAAAGTTGGCATACGTCTTGAGCCTAAGCCAGGGAATCAGCTCTCATCTCGAGATGATTTGGGGTACACGGAGCATTCCTCGAGTTGCTGTGCTGAAGTTGGTGTTCCTCTAGACTTGGGAAAGTGTTCTCTGGGCATCTCTGGAGTTGCCTGAACGAAGTCGAGCCACCGGTCTTGTTGAATGGGGAACGGGGAATGGCTCTGGAGTCAATGCAGGGGAATCGGGCCTCATCTCGAGTTGATTTGGGGCACATGGAGCAGCTTTGCGTTGCTGGGGTGACCTCAGGGTCCGTCTAGACTGGTGACAGTGTTCTTGGGGACTGTCTCGAGATCCATTAAGCAAGTCGAAGCTCCTGACTTGTTTGAATGGGATCAAGGAATAGCTCTGCATGCACTGCAGGGGAATGGGGCCTCATCTCGCCTCTAGGGGGGAGTCTCATGGTTTTTCTCGAGTTGCGGCGGGGACCTGGGGTATGTTCTCGACTTACGGCGGGGATGGCCCTTCAAAACACGAGTTTCTTCAGTGACGTCAGGACTCCTGCCTAGTAACGAGGGACACCTCAGGAATCTCTTCGAGGCTTGGCAGGGCAAAAGGAACGCTTCTCGAGGTGAGGCAGGGCACCCAAGGACCCTTTCCAGTAGCCACAGGGATTTTGGGATTCCTATCAGTATTCAAGAGGAGTCAGGCATCGTCACCTTTTGAAGCAATGAACTCCGCGTGCCTCTCGAGGTGTCAGCGGGATGTGAGGCATTCCGTCAAAATGAGGCAGGGACCTAGGGCTTTCTCTAAGGTCTCCACAGGGGATTCAGACATCCCTTCAAGTTGTGAGATGAAAGACAAGCCTGTATTCAATCTATTGCATGGAAATCCGGACTCCTTTCAAATTAGGGCTTCTCGCTGTATATTCCCCTTGAGGCAGCAAACTCGGGGTCCCTCCCACATACCTATTGCTGAGAAGCCTCCTCCTGAGGTGCTTCTGGAAAGTTGGCATACGTCTTGAGCCTAAGCCAGGGAATCAGCTCTCATCTCGAGATGATTTGGGGTACATGGAGCATTCCTCGAGTTGCTGGGCTGGGTTGGTGTTCCTCTAGACTTGGGAAAGTGTTCTCTGGGCATCTCTGGAGTTGCCTGAAGGAAGTCGAGCCACCGGTCTTGTTGAATGGGGAAGGGGGAATGGCTCTGGGGTCAATGCAGGGGAATCGGGCCTCATCTCGAGTTGATTTGGGGCACATGGAGCAGCTTTGCGTTGCTGGGGTGACCTCAGGGTCCGTCTAGACTGGTGACAGTGTTCTTGGGGACTGTCTCGAGATCCATTAAGCAAGTCGAAGCTCCTGACTTGTTTGAATGGGATCACGGAATAGCTCTGCATGCACTGCAGGGGAATGGGGCCTCATCTCGCCTCTAGGGGGAAGTCTCACGGTTTTTCTCGAGTTGCGGCGGGGACCTGGGGTATGTTCTCGACTTTCGGCGGGGATGGCCCTTCAAAACACGAGTTTCTTCAGTGACGTCAGGACTCCTGCCTAGTAACGAGGGACACCTCAGGAATCTCTTCGAGGCTTGGCCGGACAAAAGGGACGCTTCTCGAGGTGAGGCAGGGCACGCAAGGACCCTTTCCAGTAGCCACAGGGATTTTGGGATTCCTATCAGTATTCAAGAGGAGTCAGGCATCGTCACCTTTTGAAGCAATGAACTCCGCGTGCCTCTTGAGGTGTCAGCGGGATGTGAGGCATTCCGTGAAAATGAGGCAGGGACCTAGGGCTTTCTCTAAGGTCTCCACAGGGGATTCAGACATCCCTTCATGTTGTCAGATCAAAGACGAGCCTGTATTCAAGCCAGTGCAAGGAAATCTGGCCTCCTTTCAACTTAGGGCTTCTCGCTGTATATTCCCCTTGAGGCAGCAAACTCGGGGTCCCTCCCACATACCTATTGCTGAGAGAAGCCTCCTCCTGAGGTGCTTCTGGAAAGTTGGCATACGTCTTGAGCCTAAGCCAGGGAATCAGCTCTCATCTCGAGATGATTTGGGGTACACGGAGCATTCCTCGAGTTGCTGTGCTGAAGTTCGTGTTCCTCTAGACTTGCGAAAGTGTTCTCTGGGCATCTCTGGAGTTGCCTGAAGGAAGTCGAGCCACCGGTCTTGTTGAATGGGGAACGGGGAATGGCTCTGGAGTCAATGCAGGGGAATCGGGCCTCATCTCGAGTTGATTTGGGGCACATGGAGCAGCTTTGCGTTGCCTGGGTGACCTCAGGGTCCGTCTAGACTGGTGACAGTGTTCTTGGGGACTGTCTCGAGATCCATTAAGCAAGTCGAAGCTCCTGACTTGTTTTAATGGGATCACGGAATAGCTCTGCATGCACTGCAGGGGAATGGGGCCTCATCTCGCCTCTAGGGGGAAGTCTCATGGTTTTTCTCGAGTTGCGGCGGGGACCTGGGGTATGTTCTCGACTTACGGCGGGGATGGCCCTTCAAAACACGAGTTTCTTCAGTGACGTCAGGACTCCTGCCTAGTAACGAGGGACACCTCTGGAATCTCTTCGAGGCTTGGCAGGGCAAAAGGGACGCTTCTCGAGGTGAGGCAGGGCACCCAAGGACCCTTTCCAGTAGCCACAGGAATTTTGGGATTCCTATCAGTATTCAAGAGGAGTCAGGCATCGTCACCTTTTGAAGCAATGAACTCCGCGTGCCTCTCGAGGTGTCAGTGGGATGTGAGGCATTCCGTCAAAATGAGGCAGGGACCTAGAGCTTTCTCTAAGGTCTCCACAGGGGATTCAGACATCCCTTCATGTTGTCAGATCAAAGACGAGCCTGTATTCAAGCCACTGCAAGGAAATCTGGCCTCCTTTCAAGTTAGGGCTTCTCGCTGTATATTCCCCTTGAGGCAGCAAACTCGGGGTCCCTCCCACATACCTATAGCTGTGAGAAGCCTCCTCCTGAGGTGTTTCTGGGAAGTTGGCATACGTCTTGAGCCTAAGCCAGGGAATCAACTCTCATCTCGAGATGATTTGGGGTACACGGAGCATTCCTCGAGTTGCTGTGCTGAAGTTGGTGTTCCTCTAGACTTGGGAAAGTGTTCTCTGGGCATCTCTGGAGTTGCCTGAAGGAAGTCGAGCCACCGGTCTTGTTGAATGGGGAACGGGGAATGGCTCTGGAGTCAATGCAGGGGAATCGGGCCTCATCTCGAGTAGATTTGGGGCACATGGAGCAGCTTTGCGTTGCTGGGGTGACCTCAGGGTCCGTCTAGACTGGTGACAGTGTTCTTGGGGACTGTCTCGAGATCCATTAAGCAAGTCGAAGCTCCTGACTTGTTTGAATGGGATCACGGAATAGCTCTGCATGCACTGCAGGGGAATGGGGCCTCATCTCGCCTCTAGGGGGAAGTCTCATGGTTTTTCTCGAGTTGCGGCGGGGACCTGGGGTATGTTCTCGACTTACGGCGGGGATGGCCCTTCAAAACACGAGTTTCTCCAGTGACGTCAGGACTCCTGCCTATTAACGAGGGACACCTCAGGAATCTCTTCGAGGCTTGGCAGGGCAAAAGGAACGCTTCTCGAGGTGCGGCAGGGCACCCAAGGACCCTTTCCAGTAGCCACAGGGATTTTGGGATTCCTATCAGTATTCAAGAGGAGTCAGGCATCGTCACCTTTTGAAGCAATGAACTCTGCGTGCCTCTCGAGGTGTCAGCGGGATGTGAGGCATTCCGTCAAAATGAGGCAGGGGCCTAGGGCTTCCTCTAAGGTCTCCACAGGGGATTCAGACATCCCTTCATGTTGTCAGATCAAAGACGAGCCTGTATTCAAGCCACTGCAAGGAAATCTGGCCTCCTTTCAAGTTAGGGCTTCTCGCTGTATATTCCCCTTGAGGCAGCAAACTCGGAGTCCTGCCCACATACCTATTGCTGAGAAGCCTCCTCCTGAGGTGCTTCTGGAAAGTTGGCATACGTCTTGAGCCTAAGCCAGGGAATCAGCTCTCATCTCGAGACGATTTGGGGTACACAGAGCATTCCTCGAGTTGCTGTGCTGAAGTTGGTGTTCCTCTAGACTTGGGAAAGTGTTCTCTGGGAATCTCTGGTGTTGCCTGAAGGAAGTCGAGCCACCGGTCTTGTTGAATGGGGAACGGGGAATGGCTCTGGAGTCAATGCAGGGGAATCGGGCCTCATCTCGAGTTGATTTGGGGCACATGGAGCAGCTTTGCGTTGCTGGGGTGACCTCAGGGTCCGTCTAGACTGGTGACAGTGTTCTTGGGGACTGTCTCGAGATCCATTAAGCAAGTCGAAGCTCCTGACTTGTTTGAATGGGATCACGGAATAGCTCTGCATGCACTGCAGGGGAATGGGGCCTCATCTCGCCTCTAGGGGGGAGTCTCATGGTTTTTCTCGAGTTGCGGCGGGGACCTGGGGTATGTTCTCGACTTACGGCGGGGATGGCCCTTCAAAACACGAGTTTCTTCAGTGACGTCAGGACTCCTGCCTAGTAACGAGGGACACCTCAGGAATCTCTTCGAGGCTTGGCAGGGCAAAAGGAACGCTTCTCGAGGTGAGGCAGGGCACCCAAGGACCCTTTCCAGTAGCCCCAGGGATTTTGGGATTCCTATCAGTATTCAAGAGGAGTCAGGCATCGTCACCTTTTGAAGCAATGAACTCCGCGTGCCTCTCGAGATGTCAGCGGGATGTGAGGCATTCCGTCAAAATGATGCAGGGATCTAGGGCTTTCTCTAAGGTCTCCACAGGGGATTCAGACATCCCTTCATGTTGTGAGATGAAAGACAATCCTGTATTCAAGCTACTGCAAGGAAATCTGGCCTCCTTTCAAGTTAGGGCTTCTCGATGTATATTCCTCTTGAGGCAGCAAACTCGGAGTAACTCCCACATACCTATTGCTGAGAAGCCTCCTCCTGAGGTGCTTCTGGAAAGTTGGCTTACGTCTTGAGCCTAAGCCAGGGAATCAGCTCTCATCTCGAGACGATTTGGGGTACACGGAGCATTCCTCGAGTTGCTTTGCTGAAGTTGGTGTTCCTCTAGACTTGGGACAGTGTTCTCGGGGCATCTCTGGAGTTGCCTGAAGGAAGTCGAGCCACCGGTCGTGTTGAATGGGGAACAGGAATGGCTCTGGAGTCAATGCAGGGGAATCCGGCCTCATCTCGAGTTGATTTGGGGCACATGGAGCTGCTTTGCATTGCTGGGTGACCTCAGGGTCCGTCTAGACTGGTGACAGTGTTCTTGGGGACTGTCTCGAGATCCATTAAGCAAGTCGAAGCTCCTGACTTGTTTGAATGGGATCACGGAATAGCTCTGCATGCACTGCAGGGGAATGGGGCCTCATCTCACCTCTAGGGGGAAGTCTCATGGTTTTTCTCGAGTTGCGGCGGGGACCTGGGGTATGTTCTCGACTTACGGCGGGGATGGCCCTTCAAAACACGAGTTTCTCCAGTGACGTCAGGACTCCTGCCTAGTAACGAGGGACACCTCAGGAATCTCTTCGAGGCTTGGCAGGGCAAAAGGGACGCTTCTCGAGGTGAGTCAGGGCACCCAAGGACCCTTTTCAGTAGCCACAGGGATTTTGGGATTCCTATCAGTATTCAAGAGGAGTCACGCATCGTCACCTTTTGAAGCAATGAACTCCGCGTGCCTCTCGAGGTGTCAGCGGGATGTGAGGCATTCCGTCAAAATGAGGCAGGGACCTAGGGCTTTCTCTAAGGTCTCCACAGGGGATTCAGACATCCCTTCATGTTGTCAGATCAAAGACGAGCCTGTATTCAAGCCACTGCAAGGAAATCCGGCCTCCTTTCAAGTTAGGGCTTCTCGCTGTATATTGCCCTTGAGGCAGCAAACTCGGAGTCCCTCCCACATACCTATTGCTGAGAGAAGCCTCCTCCTGAGGTGCTTCTGGAAAGTTGGCATACGTCTTGAGCCTAAGCCAGGGAATCAGCTCTCATCTCGAGATTATTTGGGGTACACGGAGCATTCCTCGAGTTGCTTTGCTGAAGTTGGTGTTCCTCTAGACTTGGGAAAGTGTTCTCTGGGCATCTCTGGAGTTGCCTGAAGGAAGTCGAGCCACCGGTCTTGTTGAATGGGGAAGGGGGAATGGCTCTGGAGTCAATGCAGGGGAATCGGGCCTCATCTCCAGTTAATTTGGGGCACATGGAGCAGCTCTGCGTTGCTGGGGTGACCTCAGGGTCCGTCTAGACTGGTGACAGTGTTCTTGGGGACTGTCTCGAGATCCATTAAGCAAGTCGAAGCTCCTGACTTGTTTGAATGGGATCACGGAATAGCTCTGCATGCACTGCAGGGGAATGGGGCCTCATCTCGCCTCTAGGGGGAAGTCTCATGGTTTTTCTCGAGTTGCGGCGGGGACCTGGGGTATGTTCTCGACTTACGGCGGGGATGGCCCTTCAAAACACGAGTTTCTCCAGTGACGTCAGGACTCCTGCCTAGTAACGAGGGACACCTCAGGAATCTCTTCGAGGCTTGGCAGGGCAAAAGGGACGCTTCTCGAGGTGAGGCAGGGCACCCAAGGACACTTTCCAGTAGCCACAGGGATTTTGGGATTCCTAGCAGTATTCAAGAGGAGTCAGGCATCGTCACCTTTTGAAGCAATGAACTCCGCGTGCCTCTCGAGGTGTCAGCGGGATGTGAGGCATTCCGTCAAAATGAGGCAGGGACCTAGGGCTTTCTCTAAGGTCTCCACAGGGGATTCAGACATCCCTTCAAGTTGTGAGATGAAAGACAAGCCTGTATTCAATCTATTGCATGGAAATCCGGACTCCTTTCAAGTTAGGGCTTCTCGCTGTATATTCCCCTTGAGGCAGCAAACTCGGAGTCCCTCCCACATACCTATTGCTGAGAAGCCTCCTCCTGAGGTGCTTCTGGAAAGTTGGCATACGTCTTGAGCCTAAGCCAGGGAATCAGCTCTCATCTCGAGACGATTTGTGGTACACGGAGCATTCCTCGAGTTGCTGTGCTGAAGTTGGTGTTCCTCTAGACTTGGGAAAGTGTTCTCTTGGCATCTCTGGAGTTGCCTGAAGGAAGTCGAGCCACCGGTCTTGTTGAATGGGGAACGGGGAATGGCTCTGGAGTCAATGCAGGGGAATCGGGCCTCATCTCGAGTTGATTTGGGGCACATGGAGCAGCTTTGCGTTGCTGGGGTGACCTCAGGGTCCGTCTAGACTGGTGACAGTGTTCTTGGGGACTGTCTCGAGATCCATTAAGCAAGTCGAAGCTCCTGACTTGTTTGAATGGGATCACGGAATAGCTCTGCATGCACTGCAGGGGAATGGGGCCTCATCTCGCCTCTAGGGGGAAGTCTCATGGTTTTTCTCGAGTTGCGGCGGGGACCTGGGATATGTTCTCGACTTACGGCGGGGATGGCCCTTCAAAACACGAGTTTCTTCAGTGACGTCAGGACTCCTGCCTAGTAACGAGGGACACCTCAGGAATCTCTTCGAGGCTTGGCAGGGCAAAAGGGACGCTTCTCGAGGTGAGGCAGGGCACCCAAGGACCCTTTCCAGTAGCCACAGGGATTTTGGGATTCCTAGCAGTATTCAAGAGGAGTCAGGCATCGTCACCTTTTGAAGCAATGAACTCCGCGTGCCTCTCGAGGTGTCAGCGGAATGTGAGGCATTCCGTCAAAATGAGGCAGGGACCTAGGGCTTTCTCTAAGGTCTCCACAGGGGATTCAGACATCCCTTCAAGTTGTGAGATGAAAGACAAGCCTGTATTCAATCTATTGCATGGAAATCCGGACTCCTTTCAAGTTAGGGCTTCTCGCTGTATATTCCCATTGAGGCAGCAAACTCGGAGTCCCTCCCACATACCTATTGCTGAGAAGCCTCCTCCTGAGGTGCTTCTGGAAAGTTGGCATACGTCTTGAGCCTAAGCCAGGGAATCAGCTCTCATCTCGAGACGATTTGTGGTACACGGAGCATTCCTCGAGTTGCTGTGCTGAAGTTGGTGTTCCTCTAGACTTGGGAAAGTGTTCTCTGGGCATCTCTGGAGTTGCTTGAAGGAAGTCGAGCCACTGGTCTTGTTGAATGGGGAACGGGGAATGGCTCTGGAGTCAATGCAGGGGAATCGGGCCTCATCTCGAGTTGATTTGGGGCACATGGAGCAGCTTTGCGTTGCTGGGGTGACCTCAGGGTCCGTCTAGACTCGTGACAGTGTTCTTGGGGACTGTCTCGAGATCCATTAAGCAAGTCGAAGCTCCTGACTTGTTTGAATGGGATCACGGAATAGCTCTGCATGCACTGCAGGGGAATGGGGCCTCATCTCGCCTCTAGGGGGGAGTCTCATGGTTTTTCTCGAGTTGCGGCGGGGACCTGGGGTATGTTCTCGACTTACGGCCGGGATGTCCCTTCAAAACACGAGTTTCTTCAGTGACGTCAGGACTCCTGCCTAGTAACGAGGGACACCTCAGGAATCTCTTCGAGGCTTGGCAGGCCAAAAGGGACGCTTCTCGAGGTGAGGCAGGGCACCCAAGGACCCTTTCCAGTAGCCCCAGGGAATTTGGGATTCCTATCAGTATTCAAGAGGAGTCAGGCATCGTCACCTTTTGAAGCAATGAACTCCGCGTGCCTCTCGAGGTGTCAGCGGGATGTGAGGCATTCCGTCAAAATGAGGCAGGGACCTAGGGCTTTCTCTAAGGCCTCCACAGGGGATTCAGACATCCCTTCAAGTTGTGAGATGAAAGACAAGCCTGTATTCAATCTATTGCTTGGAAATCCGGACTCCTTTCAAGTTAGGGCTTCTCGCTGTATATTCCCCTTGAGGCAGCATACTCGGAGTCACTCCCACATACCTATTGCTGAGAAGCCTCCTCCTGAGGTGCTTCTGGAAAGTTGGCATACGTCTTGAGCCTAAGCCAGGGAATCAGCTCTCATCTCGAGATGATTTGGGGTACACGGAGCATTCCTCGAGTTGCTGTGCTGAAGTTGGTGTTCCTCTAGACTTGGGACAGTGTTCTCGGGGCATCTCTGCAGTTGCCTGAAGGAAGGCGAGCCACCGGTCGTGTTGAACGGGGAACGGGGAATGGCTCTGGAGTCAATGCAGGGGAATCGGGCCTCATCTCGTGTTGATTTGGGGCACATGGAGCTGCTTTGCTTTGATGGGGTGACCTCAGGGTCCGTCTAGACTGGTGACAGTGTTCTTGGGGACTGTCTCGAGATCCATTAAGCAAGTCGAAGCTCCTGACTTGTTTGAATGGGATCACGGAATAGCTCTGCATGCACTGCAGGGGAATGGGGCCTCATCTCGCCTCTAGGGGGAAGTCTCATGGTTTTTCTCGAGTTGCGGCGGGGACCTGGGGTATGTTCTCGACTTACGGCGGGGATGGCCCTTCAAAACACGAGTTTCTTCAGTGACGTCAGGACTCCTGCCTAGTAACGAGGGACACCTCAGGAATCTCTTCGAGGCTTGGCAGGGCAAAAGGGACGCTTCTCGAGGTGAGGCAGGGCACCCAAGGACCCTTTCCAGTAGCCACAGGGAATTTGGGATTCCTATCAGTATTCAAGAGGAGTCAGGCATCGTCACCTTTTGAAGCAATGAACTCTGCGTTCCTCTCGAGGTGTCAGCGGGATGTGAGGCATTCCGTCAAAATGAGGCAGGGACCTAGGGCTTTCTCTAAGGCCTCCACAGGGGATTCAGACATCCCTTCAAGTTGTGAGATGAAAGACAAGCCTGTATTCAATCTATTGCTTGGAAATCCGGACTCCTTTCAAGTTAGGGCTTCTCGCTGTATATTCCCCTTGAGGCAGCATACTCGGAGTCCCTCCCACATACCTATTGCTGAGAAGCCTCCTCCTGAGGTGCTTCTGGAAAGTTGGCATACGTCTTGAGCCTAAGCCAGGGAATCAGCTCTCATCTCGAGACGATTTGGGGTACACGGAGCATTCCTCGAGTTGCTGTGCTGAAGTTGGTGTTCCTCTAGACTTGGGACAGTGTTCTCGGGGCATCTCTGCAGTTGCCTGAAGGAAGGCGAGCCACCGGTCGTGTTGAACGGGGAACGGGGAATGGCTCTGGAGTCAATGCAGGGGAATCGGGCCTCATCTCGTGTTGATTTGGGGCACATGGAGCTGCTTTGCTTTGATGGGGTGACCTCAGGGTCCGTCTAGACTGGTGACAGTGTTCTTGGGGACTGTCTCGAGATCCATTAAGCAAGTCGAAGCTCCTGACTTGTTTGAATGGGATCACGGAATAGCTCTGCATGCACTGCAGGGGAATGGGGCCTCATCTCGCCTCTAGGGGGAAGTCTCATGGTTTTTCTCGAGTTGCGGCGGGGACCTGGGGTATGTTCTCGACTTACGGTGGGGATGGCCCTTCAAAACACCAGTTTCTTCAGTGACGTCAGGACTCCTGTCTAGTAATGAGGGACACCTCAGCAATCTCTTCGAGGCTTGGCAGGGCAAAAGGGACGCTTCTCGAGGTGAGGCAGGGCACCCAAGGACCCTTTCCAGTAGCCACAGGGATTTTGGGATTCCTATAAGTATTCAAGAGGAGTCAGGCATCGTCACCTTTTGAAGCAATGAACTCCGCGTGCCTCTCGAGGTGTCAGCGGGATGTGAGGCATTCCGTCAAAATGAGGCAGGGACCTAGGGCTTTCTCTTAGGTCTCCACAGGGGATTCAGACATCCCTTCAAGTTGTGAGATGAAAGACAAGCCTGTATTCAATCTATTGCATGGAAATCCGGCCTCCTTTCAAGTTAGGGCTTTTCGCTGTATATTCCCCTTGAGGCAGCAAACTCGGAGTCCCTCTCACATACCTATTGCTGAGAAGCCTCCTCCTGAGCTGCTTCTGGAAAGTTGGCATACGTCTTGAGCCTAAGCCAGGGAATCAGCTCTCATCTCGAGACGATTTGGGGTACACGGAGCATTCCTCGAGTTGCTGTGCTGAAGTTGGTGTTCCTCTAGACTTGGGAAAGTGTTCTCTGGGCATCTCTGGAGTTGCCTGAAGGAAGTCGAGCCACCGGTCTTGTTGAATGGGGAACGGGGAATGGCTCTGGAGTCAATGCAGGGGAATCGGGCCTCATCTCGAGTTGATTTGGGGCACATGGAGCAGCTTTGCGTTGCTGGGGTGACATCAGGGTCCGTCTAGACCCGTGACAGTGTTCTTGGGGACTGTCTCGAGATCCATTAAGCAAGTCGAAGCTCCTGACTTGTTTGAATGGGATCACGGAATAGCTCTGCATGCACTGCAGGGGAATGGGGCCTCATCTCGCCTCTAGGGGGGAGTCTCATGGTTGTTCTCGAGTTGCGGCGGGGACCTGGGGTATGTTCTCGACTTACGGTCGGGATGGCCCTTCAAAACTCGAGTTTCTTCAGTGACGTCAGGACTCCTGCCTAGTAACGAGGGACACCTCAGGAATCTCTTCGAGGCTTGGCAGGGCAAAAGGGACGCTTCTCGAGGTGAGGCAGGGCACCCAAGGACCCTTTCCAGTAGCCACAGGGAATTTGGGATTCCTATCAGTATTCAAGAGGAGTCAGGCATCGTCACCTTTTGAAGCAATGAACTCCGCGTGCCTCTCGAGGTGTCAGCGGGATGTGAGGCATTCCGTCAAAATGAGGCAGGGACCTTGGGCTTTCTCTAAGGCCTCCACAGGGGATTCAGACATCCCTTCAAGTTGTGAGATGAAAGACAAGCCCGTATTCAATCTATTGCTTGGAAATCCGGACTCCATTCAAGTTAGGGCTTCTCGCTGTATATTCCCCTTGAGGCAGCATACTCGGAGTCCCTCCCACATACCTACTGCTGAGAAGCCTCCTCCTGAGGTGCTTCTGGAAAGTTGGCATACGTCTTGAGCCTAAGCCAGGGAATCAGCTCTCATCTCGAGATGATTTGGGGTACACGGAGCATTCCTCCAGTTGCTGTGCTGAAGTTGGTGTTCCTCTAGACTTGGGACAGTGTTCTCGGGGCATCTCTGGAGTTGCCTGAAGGAAGGCGAGCCACCGGTCGTGTTGAACGGGGAACGGGGAATGGCTCTGGAGTCAATGCAGGGGAATCGGGCCTCATCTCGTGTTGATTTGGGGCACATGGAGCTGCTTTGCTTTGATGGGGTGACCTCAGGGTCGGTCTAGACTGGTGACAGTGTTCTTGGGGACTGTCTCGAGATCCATTAAGCAAGTCGAAGCTCCTGACTTGTTTGAATGGGATCACGGAATAGCTCTGCATGCACTGCAGGGGAATGGGTCCTCATCTTGCCTCTAGGGGGAAGTCTCACGGTTTTTCTCGAGTTGCGGCGGGGACCTGGGGTATGTTCTCGACTTACGGCGGGGATGGCCCTTCCAAACACGAGTTTCTCCAGTGACGTCAGGACTCCTGCCTAGTAACGAGGGACACCTCAGGAATCTCTTCGAGGCTTGGCAGGGCAAAAGGGACGCTTCTCGAGGTGAGGCAGGGCACCCAAGGATCCTTTTCAGTAGCCACAGGGATTTTGGGATTCCTATCAATATTCAAGAGGAGTCAGGCATCGTCACCTTTTGAAGCAATGAACTCCGCGTGCCTCTCGAGGTGTCAGCGGGATGTGAGGCATTCCGTCAAAATGAGGCAGGGACCTAGGGCTTTCTCTAAGGTCTCCACATGGGATTCAGACATCCCTTCATGCTGTCAGATCAAAGACGAGCCTGTATTCAAGCCGCTGCAAGGAAATCTGGCCTCCTTTCAAGTTAGGGCTTCTCGCTGTATATTCCCCTTGAGGCAGCAAACTCGGGGTCCCTCCCACATACCTATTGCTGAGAGAAGCCTCCTCCTGAGGTGCTTCTGGAAAGTTGGCATACGTCTTGAGCCTAAGCCAGGGAATCAGCTCTCATCTCGAGATGATTTGGGGTACACGGAGCATTCCTCGATTTGCTGTGCTGAAGTTGGTGTTCCTCTAGCCTTGGGACAGTGTTCTCGGGGAATCTCTGGAGTTGCCTGAAGGAAGTCGAGCCACCGGTCGTGTTGAATGGGGAACGGGGAATGGCTCTGGAGTCAATGCATGGGAATCGGGCCTCATCTCGAGTTGATTTGGGGCACATGGAGCAGCTTTGCGTTGCTGGGGTGACCTCAGGGTCCGTCTAGACTGGTGACAGTGTTCTTGGGGACTGTCTCGAGATCCATTAAGCAAGTCGAAGCTCCTGACTTGTTTGAATGGGATCACGGAATAGCTCTGCATGCACTGCAGGGGAATGGGGCCTCATCTCGCCTCTAGGGGGAAGTCTCATGGTTTTTCTCCTGTTGCGGCGGGGACCTGGGTTATGTTCTCGACTTACGGCGGGGATGGCCCTTCAAAACACGAGTTTCTCCAGTGACGTCAGGACTCCTGCCTAGTAACGAGGGACACCTCAGGAATCTCTTCGAGGCTTGGCAGGGCAAAAGGGACGCTTCTCGAGGTGAGGCAGGGCACCCAAGGACCCTTTCCAGTAGCCACAGGCATTTTGGGATTCCTATCAGTATTCAAGAGGAGTCAGGCATCGTCACCTTTTGAAGCAATGAACTCCGCGTGCCTCTCGAGGTGTCAGCGGGATGTGAGGCATTCCGTCAAAATGAGGCAGGGACCTAGGGCTTTCTCTAAGGTCTCCACAGGGGATTCAGACATCCCTTCATGTTGTGAGATGAAAGACAAGCCTGTATTCAAGCTACTGCAAGGAAATCCGGCCTCCTTTCAAGTTAGGGCTTCTCGATGTATATTCCCCTTGAGGCAGCAAACTCGGAGTCCCTCCCACATACCTATTGCTGTGAAGCCTCCTCCTGAGGTGCTTCTGGAAAGTTGGCATACGTCTTGAGCCTAAGCCAGGGAATCAGCTCTCATCTCGAGACGATTTGGGGTACACAGAGCATTCCTCGAGTTGCTGTGCTGAAGTTGGTGTTCCTCTAGACTTGGGAAATTGTTCTCTGGGAATCTCTGGAGTTGCCTGAAGGAAGTCGAGCCACCGGTCTTGTTGAATGGGGAACGGGGAATGGCTCTGGAGTCAATGCAGGGGAATCGGGCCTCATCTCGAGTTGATTTGGGGCACATGGAGCAGCTTTGCGTTGCTGGGGTGACCTCAGGGTCCGTCTAGACTGGTGACAGTGTTCTTGGGGACTGTCTCGAGATCCATTAAGCAAGTCGAAGCTCCTGACTTGTTTGAATGGGATCACGGAATAGCTCTGCATGCACTGCAGGGGAATGGGGCCTCATCTCGCCTCTAGGGGGGAGTCTCATGGTTTTTCTCGAGTTGCTGCGGGGACCTGGGGTATGTTCTCGACTTACGGCGGGGATGGCCCTTCAAAACACGAGTTTCTTCAGTGACGTCAGGACTCCTGCCTAGTAATGAGGGACACCTCAGGAATCTCTTCGAGGCTTGGCAGGGCAAAAGGGACGCTTCTCGAGGTGAGGGAGGGCACCCAAGGACCCTTTCCAGTAGCCACAGGGAATTTGGGATTCCTATCAGTATTCAAGAGGAGTCAGGCATCGTCACCTTTTGAAGCAATGAACTCCGCGTGCCTCTCGAGGTGTCAGCGGGATGTGAGGCATTCCGTCAAAATGAGGCAGGGACCTAGGGCTTTCTCTAAGGCCTCCACAGGGGATTCAGACATCCCTTCAAGTTGTGAGATGAAAGACAAGCCTGTATTCAATCTATTGCTTGGAAATCCGGACTCCATTCAAGTTAGGGCTTCTCGCTGTATATTCCCCTTGAGGCAGCATACTCGGAGTCCCTCCCACATACCTACTGCTGAGAAGCCTCCTCCTGAGGTGCTTCTGGAAAGTTGGCATACGTCTTGAGCCTAAGCCAGGGAATCAGCTCTCATCTCGAGATGATTTGGGGTACACGGAGCATTCCTCCAGTTGCTGTGCTGAAGTTGGTGTTCCTCTAGACTTGGGACAGTGTTCTCGGGGCATCTCTGGAGTTGCCTGAAGGAAGGCGAGCGACCGGTCGTGTTGAACGGGGAACGGGGAATGGCTCTGGAGTCAATGCAGGGGAATCGGGCCTCATCTCGTGTTGATTTGGGGCACATGGAGCTGCTTTGCTTTGATGGGGTGACCTCAGGGTCCGTCTAGACTGGTGACAGTGTTCTTGGGGACTGTCTCGAGATTCATTAAGCAAGTCGAAGCTCCTGACTTGTTTGAATGGGATCACAGAATAGCTCTGCATGCACTGCAGGGGAATGGGGCCTCATCTCGCCTCTAGGGGGAAGTCTCATGGTTTTTCTCGAGTTGCGGCGGGGACCTGGGGTATGTTCTCGACTTACGGCGGGGATGGCCCTTCAAAACACGAGTTTCTTCAGTGACGTCAGGACTCCTGTCTAGTAATGAGGGACACCTCAGCAATCTCTTCGAGGCTTGGCAGGGCAAAAGGGACGCTTCTCGAGGTGAGCCAGGGCACCCAAGGACCCTTTCCAGTAGCCACAGGGATTTTGGGATTCCTATAAGTATTCAAGAGGAGTCAGGCATCGTCACCTTTTGAAGCAATGAACTCCGCGTGCCTCTCGAGATGTCAGCGGGATGTGAGGCATTCCGTCAAAATGATGCAGGGATCTAGGGCTTTCTCTAAGGTCTCCACAGGGGATTCAGACATCCCTTCATGTTGTGAGATGAAAGACAATCCTGTATTCAAGCTACTGCAAGGAAATCTGGCCTCCTTTCAAGTTAGGGCTTCTCGATGTATATTCCTCTTGAGGCAGCAAACTCGGAGTAACTCCCACATACCTATTGCTGAGAAGCCTCCTCCTGAGGTGCTTCTGGAAAGTTGGCTTACGTCTTGAGCCTAAGCCAGGGAATCAGCTCTCATCTCGAGACGATTTGGGGTACACGGAGCATTCCTCGAGTTGCTTTGCTGAAGTTGGTGTTCCTCTAGATTTGGGACAGTGTTCTCGGGGCATCTCTGGAGTTGCCTGAAGGAAGTCGAGCCACCGGTCGTGTTGAATGGGGAACAGGAATGGCTCTGGAGTCAATGCAGGGGAATCCGGCCTCATCTCGAGTTGATTTGGGGCACATGGAGCTGCTTTGCATTGCTGGGTGACCTCAGGGTCCGTCTAGACTGGTGACAGTGTTCTTGGGGACTGTCTCGAGATCCATTAAGCAAGTCGAAGCTCCTGACTTGTTTGAATGGGATCACGGAATAGCTCTGCATGTACTGCAGGGGAATGGGGCCTCATCTCGCCTCTAAGGGGAAGTCTCACGGTTTTTCTCGAGTTGCGGCGGGGACCTGGGGTATGTTCTCGACTTACGGCGGGGATGGCCCTTCAAAACACGAGTTTCTCCAGTGACGTCAGGACTCCTGCCTAGTAACGAGGGACACCTCAGGAATCTCTTCGAGGCTTGGCAGGGCAAAAGGGACGCTTCTCGAGGTGAGTCAGGGCACCCAAGGACCCTTTTCAGTAGCCACAGGGATTTTGGGATTCCTATCAGTATTCAAGAGGAGTCACGCATCGTCACCTTTTGAAGCAATGAACTCCGCGTGCCTCTCGAGGTGTCAGCGGGATGTGAGGCATTCCGTCAAAATGAGGCAGGGACCTAGGGCTTTCTCTAAGGTCTTCACAGGGGATTCAGACATCCCTTCATGTTGTGAGATGAAAGACAAGCCTGTATTCAAGCTACTGCAAGGAAATCCGGCCTCCTTTCAAGTTAGGGCTTCTCGATGTATATTCCCCTTGAGGCAGCAAACTCGGAGTCCCTCCCACATACCTATTGCTGAGAAGCCTCCTCCTGAGGTGCTTCTGGAAAGTTGGCATACGTCTTGAGCCTAAGCCAGGGAATCAGCTCTCATCTCGAGATGATTTGGGGTACACGGAGCATTCCTCGAGTTGCTGTGCTGAAGTTCGTGTTCCTCTAGACTTGGGAAAGTGTTCTCTGGGCATCTCTGGAGTTGCCTGAACGAAGTCGAGCCACCGGTCTTGTTGAATGGGGAACGGGGAATGGCTCTGGAGTCAATGCAGGGGAATCGGGCCTCATCTCGAGTTGATTTGGGGCACATGGAGCAGCTTTGCGTTGCTGGGGTGACCTCAGGGTCCGTCTAGACTGGTGACAGTGTTCTTGGGGACTGTCTCGAGATCCATTAAGCAAGTCGAAGCTCCTGACTTGTTTGAATGGGATCAAGGAATAGCTCTGCATGCACTGCAGGGGAATGGGGCCTCATCTCGCCTCTAGGGGGGAGTCTCATGGTTTTTCTCGAGTTGCGGCGGGGACCTGGGGTATGTTCTCGACTTACGGCGGGGATGGCCCTTCAAAACACGAGTTTCTTCAGTGACGTCAGGACTCCTGCCTAGTAACGAGGGACACCTCAGGAATCTCTTCGAGGCTTGGCAGGGCAAAAGGAACGCTTCTCGAGGTGAGGCAGGGCACCCAAGGACCCTTTCCAGTAGCCACAGGGATTTTGGGATTCCTATCAGTATTCAAGAGGAGTCAGGCATCGTCACCTTTTGAAGCAATGAACTCCGCGTGCCTCTCGAGGTGTCAGCGGGATGTGAGGCATTCCGTCAAAATGAGGCAGGGACCTAGGGCTTTCTCTAAGGTCTCCACAGGTGATTCAGACATCCCTTCATGTTGTCAGATCAAAGACGAGCCTGTATTCAAGCCAGTGCAAGGAAATCTGGCCTCCTTTCAACTTAGGGCTTCTCGCTGTATATTCCCCTTGAGGCAGCAAACTCGGGGTCCCTCCCACATACCTATTGCTGAGAGAAGCCTCCTCCTGAGGTGCTTCTGGAAAGTTGGCATACGTCTTGAGCCTAAGCCAGGGAATCAGCTCTCATCTCGAGATGATTTGGGGTACACGGAGCATTCCTCGAGTTGCTGTGCTGAAGTTTGTGTTCCTCTAGACTTGCGAAAGTGTTCTCTGGGCATCTCTGGAGTTGCCTGAAGGAAGTCGAGCCACCGGTCTTGTTGAATGGGGAACGGGGAATGGCTCTGGAGTCAATGCAGGGGAATCGGGCCTCATCTCGAGTTGATTTGGGGCACATGGAGCAGCTTTGCGTTGCCTGGGTGACCTCAGGGTCCGTCTAGACTGGTGACAGTGTTCTTGGGGACTGTCTCGAGATCCATTAAGCAAGTCGAAGCTCCTGACTTGTTTGAATGGGATCACGGAATAGCTCTGCATGCACTGCAGGGGAATGGGGCCTCATCTCGCCTCTAGGGGGAAGTCTCATGGTTTTTCTCGAGTTGCGGCGGGGACCTGGGGTATGTTCTCGACTTACGGCGGGGATGGCCCTTCAAAACACGAGTTTCTTCAGTGACGTCAGGACTCCTGCCTAGTAACGAGGGACACCTCTGGAATCTCTTCGAGGCTTGGCAGGGCAAAAGGGACGCTTCTCGAGGTGAGGCAGGGCACCCAAGGACCCTTTCCAGTAGCCACAGGAATTTTGGGATTCCTATAAGTATTCAAGAGGAGTCAGGCATCGTCACCTTTTGAAGCAATGAACTCCGCGTGCCTCTCGAGGTGTCAGCGGGATGTGAGGCATTCCGTCAAAATGAGGCAGGGACCTAGGGCTTTCTCTTAGGTCTCCACAGGGGATTCAGACATCCCTTCAAGTTGTGAGATGAAAGACAAGCCTGTATTCAATCTATTGCATGGAAATCCGGCCTCCTTTCAAGTTAGGGCTTTTCGCTGTATATTCCCCTTGAGGCAGCAAACTCGGAGTCCCTCTCACATACCTATTGCTGAGAAGCCTCCTCCTGAGCTGCTTCTGGAAAGTTGGCATACGTCTTGAGCCTAAGCCAGGGAATCAGCTCTCATCTCGAGACGATTTGGGGTACACGGAGCATTCCTCGAGTTGCTGTGCTGAAGTTGGTGTTCCTCTAGACTTGGGAAAGTGTTCTCTGGGCATCTCTGGAGTTGCCTGAAGGAAGTCGAGCCACCGGTCTTGTTGAATGGGGAACGGGGAATGGCTCTGGAGTCAATGCAGGGGAATCGGGCCTCATCTCGAGTTGATTTGGGGCACATGGAGCAGCTTTGCGTTGCTGGGGTGACCTCAGGGTCCGTCTAGACCCGTGACAGTGTTCTTGGGGACTGTCTCGAGATCCATTAAGCAAGTCGAAGCTCCTGACTTGTTTGAATGGGATCACGGAATAGCTCTGCATGCACTGCAGGGGAATGGGGCCTCATCTCGCCTCTAGGGGGGAGTCTCATGGTTTTTCTCGAGTTGCGGCGGGGACCTGGGGTATGTTCTCGACTTACGGTCGGGATGGCCCTTCAAAACTCGAGTTTCTTCAGTGACGTCAGGACTCCTGCCTAGTAACGAGGGACACCTCAGGAATCTCTTCGAGGCTTGGCAGGGCAAAAGGGACGCTTCTCGAGGTGAGGCAGGGCACCCAAGGACCCTTTCCAGTAGCCACAGGGAATTTGGGATTCCTATCAGTATTCAAGAGGAGTCAGGCATCGTCACCTTTTGAAGCAATGAACTCCGCGTGCCTCTCGAGGTGTCAGCGGGATGTGAGGCATTCCGTCAAAATGAGGCAGGGACCTTGGGCTTTCTCTAAGGCCTCCACAGGGGATTCAGACATCCCTTCAAGTTGTGAGATGAAAGACAAGCCTGTATTCAATCTATTGCTTGGAAATCCGGACTCCATTCAAGTTAGGGCTTCTCGCTGTATATTCCCCTTGAGGCAGCATACTCGGAGTCCCTCCCACATACCTACTGCTGAGAAGCCTCCTCCTGAGGTGCTTCTGGAAAGTTGGCATACGTCTTGAGCCTAAGCCAGGGAATCAGCTCTCATCTCGAGATGATTTGGGGTACACGGAGCATTCCTCCAGTTGCTGTGCTGAAGTTGGTGTTCCTCTAGACTTGGGACAGTGTTCTCGGGGCATCTCTGGAGTTGCCTGAAGGAAGGCGAGCCACCGGTCGTGTTGAACGGGGAACGGGGAATGGCTCTGGAGTCAATGCAGGGGAATCGGGCCTCATCTCGTGTTGATTTGGGGCACATGGAGCTGCTTTGCTTTGATGGGGTGACCTCAGGGTCGGTCTAGACTGGTGACAGTGTTCTTGGGGACTGTCTCGAGATCCATTAAGCAAGTCGAAGCTCCTGACTTGTTTGAATGGGATCACGGAATAGCTCTGCATGCACTGCAGGGGAATGGGGCCTCATCTTGCCTCTAGGGGGAAGTCTCACGGTTTTTCTCGAGTTGCGGCGGGGACCTGGGGTATGTTCTCGACTTACGGCGGGGATGGCCCTTCAAAACACGAGTTTCTCCAGTGACGTCAGGACTCCTGCCTAGTAACGAGGGACACCTCAGGAATCTCTTCGAGGCTTGGCAGGGCAAAAGGGACGCTTCTCGAGGTGAGGCAGGGCACCCAAGGATCCTTTTCAGTAGCCACAGGGATTTTGGGATTCCTATCAATATTCAAGAGGAGTCAGGCATCGTCACCTTTTGAAGCAATGAACTCCGCGTGCCTCTCGAGGTGTCAGCGGGATGTGAGGCATTCCGTCAAAATGAGGCAGGGACCTAGGGCTTTCTCTAAGGTCTCCACATGGGATTCAGACATCCCTTCATGCTGTCAGATCAAAGACGAGCCTGTATTCAAGCCGCTGCAAGGAAATCTGGCCTCCTTTCAAGTTAGGGCTTCTCGCTGTATATTCCCCTTGAGGCAGCAAACTCGGGGTCCCTCCCACATACCTATTGCTGAGAGAATCCTCCTCCTGAGGTGCTTCTGGAAAGTTGGCATACGTCTTGAGCCTAAGCCAGGGAATCAGCTCTCATCTCGAGATGATTTGGGGTACACGGAGCATTCCTCGATTTGCTGTGCTGAAGTTGGTGTTCCTCTAGCCTTGGGACAGTGTTCTCGGGGAATCTCTGGAGTTGCCTGAAGGAAGTCGAGCCACCGGTCGTGTTGAATGGGGAACGGGGAATGGCTCTGGAGTCAATGCATGGGAATCGGGCCTCATCTCGAGTTGATTTGGGGCACATGGAGCAGCTTTGCGTTGCTGGGGTGACCTCAGGGTCCGTCTAGACTGGTGACAGTGTTCTTGGGGACTGTCTCGAGATCCATTAAGCAAGTCGAAGCTCCTGACTTGTTTGAATGGGATCACGGAATAGCTCTGCATGCACTGCAGGGGAATGGGGCCTCATCTCGCCTCTAGGGGGAAGTCTCATGGTTTTTCTCCTGTTGCGGCGGGGACCTGGGTTATGTTCTCGACTTACGGCGGGGATGGCCCTTCAAAACACGAGTTTCTCCAGTGACGTCAGGACTCCTGCCTAGTAACGAGGGACACCTCAGGAATCTCTTCGAGGCTTGGCAGGGCAAAAGGGACGCTTCTCGAGGTGAGGCAGGGCACCCAAGGACCCTTTCCAGTAGCCACAGGCATTTTGGGATTCCTATCAGTATTCAAGAGGAGTCAGGCATCGTCACCTTTTGAAGCAATGAACTCCGCGTGCCTCTCGAGGTGTCAGCGGGATGTGAGGCATTCCGTCAAAATGAGGCAGGGACCTAGGGCTTTCTCTAAGGTCTCCACAGGGGATTCAGACATCCCTTCATGTTGTGAGATGAAAGACAAGCCTGTATTCAAGCTACTGCAAGGAAATCCGGCCTCCTTTCAAGTTAGGGCTTCTCGATGTATATTCCCCTTGAGGCAGCAAACTCGGAGTCCCTCCCACATACCTATTGCTGTGAAGCCTCCTCCTGAGGTGCTTCTGGAAAGTTGGCATACGTCTTGAGCCTAAGCCAGGGAATCAGCTCTCATCTCGAGACGATTTGGGGTACACAGAGCATTCCTCGAGTTGCTGTGCTGAAGTTGGTGTTCCTCTAGACTTGGGAAATTGTTCTCTGGGAATCTCTGGAGTTGCCTGAAGGAAGTCGAGCCACCGGTCTTGTTGAATGGGGAACGGGGAATGGCTCTGGAGTCAATGCAGGGGAATCGGGCCTCATCTCGAGTTGATTTGGGGCACATGGAGCAGCTTTGCGTTGCTGGGGTGACCTCAGGGTCCGTCTAGACTGGTGACAGTGTTCTTGGGGACTGTCTCGAGATCCATTAAGCAAGTCGAAGCTCCTGACTTGTTTGAATGGGATCACGGAATAGCTCTGCATGCACTGCAGGGGAATGGGGCCTCATCTCGCCTCTAGGGGGGAGTCTCATGGTTTTTCTCGAGTTGCTGCGGGGACCTGGGGTATGTTCTCGACTTACGGCGGGGATGGCCCTTCAAAACACGAGTTTCTTCAGTGACGTCAGGACTCCTGCCTAGTAATGAGGGACACCTCAGGAATCTCTTCGAGGCTTGGCAGGGCAAAAGGGACGCTTCTCGAGGTGAGGGAGGGCACCCAAGGACCCTTTCCAGTAGCCACAGGGAATTTGGGATTCCTATCAGTATTCAAGAGGAGTCAGGCATCGTCACCTTTTGAAGCAATGAACTCCGCGTGCCTCTCGAGGTGTCAGCGGGATGTGAGGCATTCCGTCAAAATGAGGCAGGGACCTAGGGCTTTCTCTAAGGCCTCCACAGGGGATTCAGACATCCCTTCAAGTTGTGAGATGAAAGACAAGCCTGTATTCAATCTATTGCTTGGAAATCCGGACTCCATTCAAGTTAGGGCTTCTCGCTGTATATTCCCCTTGAGGCAGCATACTCGGAGTCCCTCCCACATACCTACTGCTGAGAAGCCTCCTCCTGAGGTGCTTCTGGAAAGTTGGCATACGTCTTGAGCCTAAGCCAGGGAATCAGCTCTCATCTCGAGATGATTTGGGGTACACGGAGCATTCCTCCAGTTGCTGTGCTGAAGTTGGTGTTCCTCTAGACTTGGGACAGTGTTCTCGGGGCATCTCTGGAGTTGCCTGAAGGAAGGCGAGCCACCGGTCGTGTTGAACGGGGAACGGGGAATGGCTCTGGAGTCAATGCAGGGGAATCGGGCCTCATCTCGTGTTGATTTGGGGCACATGGAGCTGCTTTGCTTTGATGGGGTGACCTCAGGGTCCGTCTAGACTGGTGACAGTGTTCTTGGGGACTGTCTCGAGATTCATTAAGCAAGTCGAAGCTCCTGACTTGTTTGAATGGGATCACAGAATAGCTCTGCATGCACTGCAGGGGAATGGGGCCTCATCTCGCCTCTAGGGGGAAGTCTCATGGTTTTTCTCGAGTTGCGGCGGGGACCTGGGGTATGTTCTCGACTTACGGCGGGGATGGCCCTTCAAAACACGAGTTTCTTCAGTGACGTCAGGACTCCTGTCTAGTAATGAGGGACACCTCAGCAATCTCTTCGAGGCTTGGCAGGGCAAAAGGGACGCTTCTCGAGGTGAGCCAGGGCACCCAAGGACCCTTTCCAGTAGCCACAGGGATTTTGGGATTCCTATAAGTATTCAAGAGGAGTCAGGCATCGTCACCTTTTGAAGCAATGAACTCCGCGTGCCTCTCGAGATGTCAGCGGGATGTGAGGCATTCCGTCAAAATGATGCAGGGATCTAGGGCTTTCTCTAAGGTCTCCACAGGGGATTCAGACATCCCTTCATGTTGTGAGATGAAAGACAATCCTGTATTCAAGCTACTGCAAGGAAATCTGGCCTCCTTTCAAGTTAGGGCTTCTCGATGTATATTCCTCTTGAGGCAGCAAACTCGGAGTAACTCCCACATACCTATTGCTGAGAAGCCTCCTCCTGAGGTGCTTCTGGAAAGTTGGCTTACGTCTTGAGCCTAAGCCAGGGAATCAGCTCTCATCTCGAGACGATTTGGGGTACACGGAGCATTCCTCGAGTTGCTTTGCTGAAGTTGGTGTTCCTCTAGATTTGGGACAGTGTTCTCGGGGCATCTCTGGAGTTGCCTGAAGGAAGTCGAGCCACCGGTCGTGTTGAATGGGGAACAGGAATGGCTCTGGAGTCAATGCAGGGGAATCCGGCCTCATCTCGAGTTGATTTGGGGCACATGGAGCTGCTTTGCATTGCTGGGTGACCTCAGGGTCCGTCTAGACTGGTGACAGTGTTCTTGGGGACTGTCTCGAGATCCATTAAGCAAGTCGAAGCTCCTGACTTGTTTGAATGGGATCACGGAATAGCTCTGCATACACTGCAGGGGAATGGGGCCTCATCTCGCCTCTAGGGGGAAGTCTCATGGTTTTTCTCGAGTTGCGGCGGGGACCTGGGGTATGTTCTCGACTTACGGCGGGGATGGCCCTTCAAAACACGAGTTTCTCCAGTGACGTCAGGACTCCTGCCTAGTAACGAGGGACACCTCAGGAATCTCTTCGAGGCTTGGCAGGGCAAAAGGGACGCTTCTCGAGGTGAGGCAGGGCACCCAAGGACACTTTCCAGTAGCCACAGGGATTTTGGGATTCCTAGCAGTATTCAAGAGGAGTCAGGCATCGTCACCTTTTGAAGCAATGAACTCTGCGTGCCTCTCGAGGTGTCAGCGGGATGTGAGGCATTCCGTCAAAATGAGGCAGGGACCTAGGGCTTTCTCTAAGGTCTCCACAGGGGATTCAGACATCCCTTCAAGTTGTGAGATGAAAGACAAGCCTGTATTCAATCTATTGCATGGAAATCCGGACTCCTTTCAAGTTAGGGCTTCTCGCTGTATATTCCCCTTGAGGCAGCAAACTCGGAGTCCCTCCCACATACCTATTGCTGAGAAGCCTCCTCCTGAGGTGCTTCTGGAAAGTTGGCATACGTCTTGAGCCTAAGCCAGGGAATCAGCTCTCATCTCGAGACGATTTGTGGTACACGGAGCATTCCTCGAGTTGCTGTGCTGAAGTTGGTGTTCCTCTAGACTTGGGAAAGTGTTCTCTTGGCATCTCTGGAGTTGCCTGAAGGAAGTCGAGCCACCGGTCTTGTTGAATGGGGAACGGGGAATGGCTCTGGAGTCAATGCAGGGGAATCGGGCCTCATCTCGAGTTGATTTGGGGCACATGGAGCAGCTTTGCGTTGCTGGGGTGACCTCAGGGTCCGTCTAGACTGGTGACAGTGTTCTTGGGGACTGTCTCGAGATCCATTAAGCAAGTCGAAGCTCCTGACTTGTTTGAATGGGATCACGGAATAGCTCTGCATGCACTGCAGGGGAATGGGGCCTCATCTCGCCTCTAGGGGGAAGTCTCATGGTTTTTCTCGAGTTGCGGCGGGGACCTGGGATATGTTCTCGACTTACGGCGGGGATGGCCCTTCAAAACACGAGTTTCTTCAGTGACGTCAGGACTCCTGCCTAGTAACGAGGGACACCTCAGGAATCTCTTCGAGGCTTGGCAGGGCAAAAGGGACGCTTCTCGAGGTGAGGCAGGGCACCCAAGGACCCTTTCCAGTAGCCACAGGGATTTTGGGATTCCTAGCAGTATTCAAGAGGAGTCAGGCATCGTCACCTTTTGAAGCAATGAACTCCGCGTGCCTCTCGAGGTGTCAGCGGAATGTGAGGCATTCCGTCAAAATGAGGCAGGGACCTAGGGCTTTCTCTAAGGTCTCCACAGGGGATTCAGACATCCCTTCAAGTTGTGAGATGAAAGACAAGCCTGTATTCAATCTATTGCATGGAAATCCGGACTCCTTTCAAGTTAGGGCTTCTCGCTGTATATTCCCCTTGAGGCAGCAAACTCGGAGTCCCTCCCACATACCTATTGCTGAGAAGCCTCCTCCTGAGCTGCTTCTGGAAAGTTGGCATACGTCTTGAGCCTAAGCCAGGGAATCAGCTCTCATCTCGAGACGATTTGTGGTACACGGAGCATTCCTCGAGTTGCTGTGCTGAAGTTGGTGTTCCTCTAGACTTGGGAAAGT